CTGGAGTGCAGGTATCAACGCGATTCCGCTTGGAGTACAAACTCCGCACGGGAAAAGACCTGGATGTTTCCCAGGTAGCTAAAATGCAGGGTTTTGCAGATAAAAATTATTCAATCACCTGTTCAGCTCTCAACGGTGCCATGCATGAATGAAACGGCAGTTACAGTTTACCTCAACCGTGCCGATGTTCGAAAAGCGCTCGGGATACCCACAAGCCTAGGTCCATGGGCTATTTGTAGGTTTGTCGTGAACTCATAGGTGTCCCTCCTTAGTAAACCTTTTGGATAGTTGAATCTTCAATTGCAGTGACACAATCAGCAACACTTACGATAGGCAATATGGAGAAATGGCATCACGAGTAAAGAATGGTCTCAATTATGGTCTCAGAGGTAATCCTTCTGCTAACTCGATCTTGGTCTCTTGGACTTTGGAGTATGAAGTTGAAAATTGAATTACGATTGAACCTTAGGATTAATCTACAGCGGTGATGTTGACATGGCTTGCAACTTCTTAATGGGACAGAGGTTTTCGCGTAAACTGGGCTATAAGGTCAGTCTTGCAAATTATCAACGAGTAGTGCTTCCGGCGAATATTGTGAAACTGTAAAATTGTTGTATTTCTATTAATAGTCCGCTTTGAATTCCAACTTTTCCAAAATCCGTCTACCCAATGAAATGAATGGGAATTAGCTCTTAGCTAATGTTTTTAAAAACAAGGCTACTTTCACATGTGATTACACATTCACACCTAGGAGGTACAAAACAAGAAGCACTACATTGTTGATGGACAAGTTGGAGGATATCACACCGAATATGAAAATCTTCACTTTGTAACTGTGAGAGTGAGTGCATCTCTTAAAATTTCATTAAATTTTCTGAGTTCATACGATTAACTTCAGGGCGCAGGTCATATGGTTCCTACCGACAAGCCGTCCGTGGCTTATCATATCATAGATTCCTTCTTGTTCAATAAGAAATTCTAGAATTCGATTGAATTTGTAGAATTTAAGGCTGTCGCTGCGATTTTAGCTGCCAGCTTCTAGCTTCGGGACATTGTTTCTATGGATAATACACGAATTTCGCAAAAATTGTAAAAAAAAA